TCGCAGAAAATTTCACCAAACTCGATTGGCAGATCATCGCTTATCTGATCCAGTCGTTCGTGCCCGTTTTGAATCAGAACTAAGGCAAGAGCTAAACGCACTGCGGGGTGGTCGTGTAAATGAACAAGGGGATCAAATTAGCCGAGCAATGCACTCCGCAGCGAACGCTGCTTGTGGATCTGAAGCAGTAGCCCGCCCGAAGCATTGGATATCTGATGAATCAGTAGCACTGATGGAGAAAAAGCAGCAAATCCCAACCACCCGGGATCAAGGCAAGGTTAGATGGCGTCTACAACGTTATCTCACGAAGAGCCTCAAGAAAGACCGTGAGAACTGGTGGGCAATGATAGCTAGTGAAATGGAAGTAGCGGCTGCATTAGAGAATAGTTAGAGACTGTTCCAACTGATACGGAAAACGAGAGGTCGGTGAACCACAGCTAGTGAAACAATCTGCGACAAGAGTGAGCGAGCTATTCACAATAGGGAACAACGGTTTGACTGGTGGGCGGAGTACTTCAACGAACAGTTCAGTTGGCCAGGGCTATCTCCTCCGATGTAGCTGAGGCTCCATGGGCAGTGTCATCTGAACCTCCTACTGCAGAAGTTCGTTCTTGCATCCAAGCCCTGAAGAAAGGAAAAGCAGCAGGGCCAGATGGCCTTCCTCACACTTTTTTAAAGATGGGGGCGATGACCTTGTAGACTCCATTACTGATTTAATGCTTAACATCTAGTTACACGAGCGCATTCCATCATCCTGGAGCGAATCACTCATCGTTCCAATTTTTAAGGGATCTCGCAATGACTGCGCAAACCACCGTGGAATAAGTTTGATCCCAATCTTCATCGAGTTACTAGCCCCCATTATACTTCGACGTCTGACGCCGTTTAGGGAGACAAACATCCGCGAACAACAAGCAGGATTTCGACCAGGTCGCGGTTGTATCGATCAAATCTTCACCCTGCGTCAAGTCCTCGAGCTACGCCATACGCACCATCGACCAACGGTTGTCGTGTTCCTTGACCTAAAATTGCATTCGACTCAGTTGATCGTGAATCCATTATGGGTACACTCCTTCGCAAATGAATGCCGCAGATGTATAAGAATATACTGAGTAATATCTACTCACATATTTCTGGTAACGTAAGGGTCTACGGCGAGCTGGGTAAGTCGTTTGTAACTAGCAGCGGTGTTCGTCATTCCTGCTCAATTTCGTCATAGACGAAATACTGGAGAACATAGTGAGTGGACTCCAGAATGCAGGTATTGAATTGGCAGCTGGAGAAAAGCTGTGCGATTTGGAATACGTTGCTTGTTCGAATGTATGGAGAATGCACAAAGGGCACTTGACAGATCATCAAGTTCTGTGGCTCCGTTCGGCATGTGCTTTGCACCTTCAAAGTGCAAAGTGATGCTACAAGACTGGGTGTCACCCAGTTCTGTTTTGAAACTAGACGGTCAGGAATTAGCTGAAGTTGACTGCTTCTCGTACTTAGGTAGCTGCGTGACCAACGACCGTAGCGCATCAAAGGAGATAACCACCCGCATTTCCAAGGCTCGAGCAGCATACCCAGGACTAAAACACCTGTGGCGGCGACGTGACGTGTCGCTAAAGTTGAAAAGTTGCGTGTACTGCGCCACTGTACAATCAGTTCTGTCTTACGGTTGTGAGACCTTCAAGAAACCCGACGTTTAGCAGTGTTTGACAATCGATGCTTACATAGTCTGGCCCAAGTGGGATGACGTGAGCGGGTTAGTAACTTAGAAGTAAGTCGTCGGGTGTTTGGGAATGCATCGAACAAGAACTCGCTATCTCATCGAATCCGGCCCAGAAGGCTACGTTGGTTAGGACACGTTTTGCGTATGTCCGGGAGTTGTTTACTGCAGCGCGCCTTGTTTGCAGTGGCTGTTACAGGCTGGAGAAAGCAACATAGAGGCCAGCAGATGACGTGGAGACGAGGCAAGATGAAATGCACAGAGCGATTAGGTAGAGTAGTTGTCTCTCGTCTTCCGGAATGGGATCCAAAAGACTCCGAAACCGCATGGTTGGAGACGCTGAAGGTCACGGCTGCGAACCGAAAGCAATGGCGATCATGATGTCACTTCTTATCAGTCCAAAATGCTTGAACTAGTATGTATGCACAGTTGGGCTGTGTACTCTGTGTGTTGACCACAGAGGTTCGCTTTCTTTTCCTGCCTCTAAAAATAGGCCCAATCCCTGTCCTGTTACACATTCTCACTTAACTTGTATGCATTATGAGTTTGACAGCGATCAACGAAGTTCGCTCCACTGTATTACGCTGTACAATGCTGATGATAATGAGGTCAACCA